CTGCAGATTGCTTTCTCTGCAGGAAAAAAAAAACAATCTGCAACACTGATTACAGTTTAATGAATGAACACTAGGTTGCTCGAATTCGATGAGTGAGCACTAAATACACGTACATGCGTTTGACACAATCGAGTTCACTTATTTATGTATATTTCGATGGTGAATATACATATATTTTTTAAAAAAATAAGAATCCCAGTTTAATTAAAATGTTGAACTTGAATAGATATAATAGTTTTAAGGGAAAAGTACATAAATTGTTCCTTGACTATAGGATACTGCTTTATTAAGTTTTCCGACTATTAAAAGTTATGAAATGATCCTTCAATTATAGAATGTTTCTTTGTTGAGTCACTCGACTATTAAAAGTTACAAAATAGTCACCGGACTATTCATTATGTTCCAAACTCATCATTCTCTATTAAAAAATTGATTGTATTTTGAACTGAACATTAACATGCTGACTGTGATATGATAAAATCTAATCACAGAATCTCAAACGACTACCATATTACAATCATCATATTAATGTACAGCTTAGACAACCACCATTTTTTTAACGGAAAAGGACAAGCTTGGAACATAATGAATAGTCGGGTGATCATTTTGTAACTTTTAATAGTAAAGAGACTTAATAAAGTAATATTATACAGTCGAGAGATCATTTTATAACTTTTGATAGTTGACAGACTTAATAAAGCATTACCTTATAGTTGGAGGACCATTTACATATTTTACCCTAGTTTTTAATATTTGATAAAAAAAAAGATATATCATTTTATGATTTTACTTAATTAGATAGAATTCGTATCATTTGTGAATTTCAAGTGTCTGGAAAGTGCCAAATTCTCATGTGAACGGAATATATAAAGTTCATAACCTTGAAAATAACTCAGCATTCTGATATTTTTGAAACCCCTTCATTTTTGGTTGTGGACAGAATTTAACGCCACTTCGTTTCTTGACACCTTTGCTTTTGGTAATTTTCAGCGCATTAAAGACTCTTTGATATTACTAACAAGCAGGACTTAGCAATAAAATTGAGAAAATCGAAAGACTTATTCGAATCTAATTATTCGGTTTGGTTCAAGTTTTTTAGTTTATGGTTTGATTTCGGTTCGATTTAAAAAATAAATATCTAATTCGGTTTAATTTTTCTATATGAAAACCGTTTGAACCGAATTAAAAGAATAAAAGAAAATAAGTATTCAAAACACATTCATTTTGAATTTATTATAAGATAAATTTAAATAAATAAAATATTAAAACTAATAATATTTTTAAAATATAAATTTACATATTTGCACTCGATTTAAGCTTTAAATTTATTTTTTTTCTTATGTTTGAGTTTGAAAAACAGTGAATAATCAAAAATTGTCGAACCAAATCGAAAACCGTGGTTTTTATACCATTTGGCTTCGGTTTTCAAAAACCAACAAAGGATGGTTCGACTCATATTTTATTGTAAAATTGAACCGAACTGAACCGAGTACAGTCATACTAACAAGTGTTGTCGATAGTAAGGTTTACTACACGATTACAAAGAAAATTCATATTTAAATTTAAGAGATGATATGCACGAACCAACTTACTTCAACTATTAAAGGAATCATTGTTGTTTCAAGAGGTTATGGATTCGAACACCAACAGCTCCAGCAGGGTGATCGAGCGTTCATTTCAAATTATTGAAAGTATTTAGAACATATACTACTTTATAAACACCTTAGCATAATAGATGATATGATTAGGAAATAAATAAATTTAAACTTTAAAATTATATTAGTGGACATAACCACGAATTCTTAAAGATGAAATTTATAAGCCGCTTTCTCTCTCTCCCCTCTTTTTCCTCTTTTTTTTTTCTTTACAATTTGATTTAATTTATGTGGATTAAATCAATTTTTTTTCTTTGATTTTATTAGCTGACGACAGTATTAATTTTGATACTAATTTTTTATCGTCGGTTATTTTTTTCTTTGTTTTTTTAGTTTTTAATAAGAATAATTTTATCTTCGTAGCATGTTTATCTTTACATTTATAGCACATTTATCTCTGTCTTTGTAACACGTTTATCTTTGTCTTTATGAAATATTTTTCTCTTCCTTTTAGTAGTTTTCGATCGTTTGAATGTTGTTTTCGTTTATCTTTTTTCTCAGGGTTAGATTTGACATCTTCACGGTTGATCAAAATGGTGCTTATTTGTTATTATGTTGATCTTCCCTACTTTAGACCCTCAAATTGATTTGGATATGCGTTTTGTGCTCGTGGATAGTTTTCTCACGTTGTTTGACTTTGATTTATGATTTATCAGTGGTCTTTCAGTAGTTTCATCTCCTTTGTGGTTCATTTACCGATACAATCAGATTTGTTCGTATCTTTATTTTGTTAGAACATTAGTTAGGTTTTTTAACATTTTCCTTTTTATGGTCCATGTGTGTTTTAGGTGGCTAGTTTTTGTGTCAATTGTTATAGGAAAATGTTTCAATTATAATTTAATTTACGTTTACAGTTATGCTTGTAAATTTTCATTGTAATTTTAGATTTTTTTATTTTTAATAAAACTAGCAAATTTTTATATATGTAAAAAAGAGATGAACTTTATAACATACATAATTTTTTTCTGAAAAAAAAATTATATGGTGCCGTTAAATTTAAAGGATTAATTGTGGTTATAAATGACTTGTGTTCTTTTGGGTCATAAATAAATAAAATAAAGAAGTATTAGAAAAAAGATAATGAAAATAAAACCAAAATAATTAAAAATGGAATCATAACATTGATTGAAATATGTTAAGTAGTTTTAGTGATAAAAAGAAAATGTTATTTTTTATAATATTTAAACTTAAATAATTAAGTTTTTAAGGTTTGTGTGTTATTAATAATTAAAATTATTTTTCTCATTGATGTTTTCTCTCATCAGTGTGTCATTTATTCCTTTTTTTTTCCTATTCATTCATCGACGGTGACACTAATTTTAATGTTGGTTACCAACTGTCAATATTTTTATTGTCTTTCTCTTTTCTATATTATATCTTTACTTTTTTATTTTGAATAAATCTGCCTATATAACACGTTTTTATCTGTCTTTATGGCATATTTTCTAATGCTTTTTGGCATGTTTTTCAGTTGTTTGACTGTTTTTTCATTTATCTTTTTTCTAAGGGTTGATTTAACATTACCATGACTGATTAAGATGACGATTATCTGATATCTTGTTGATCTTCCTGCTTTGGACACTCGTATTGGATTTAGATATCCGATTTGCTTTCGTAGATAGCTTTTCATGTCCCTCGAGTCTGATTTGCAATTTTTCGGTGGTCTTTCAATAGTTTGATTTTCTTTTGTGGTTCGTTTGCCGATACGATCAGATCTATTTTGTATCTATCTTTGTTTGAGTTTCTTAGTTAGATTTTTTTTAATCTTTTCTTGTATGGTTCTCATGTAATCTTAAGTTGCTAGTTTTGTTTCAATATTTATAGAAAAATTTTCTAATTATGTGTTTAATTTACGGTTGTGATTATAAATATTTATTGTAATTTGAAATATTTCTTATTTTGAATAAAATTAGTTGTTTGTTTTAAAAAAAATAATTAAAATATATTTAAATAATAACATTTGCAAGGTTTCTGCGTTATTAATAACAAATTTTTTTAAATCGATAGTATTTTATAATTATCTAAACTATTTAACTTTTATATTATTTTAATAAATCCTACTCTAATATATGTATTTATGTATGCGTCAACATATAGGTAAAATGTATGTTTCCGAAGACTTCATTGTTGTACTAAACTCCTCGGACACATGACAACCTCTTTGTTTATATGGCGGATGGAAAAGATAATTCGGCTTCCTCACCAAAATAGGACCTTGGAAAAAATATTTCTCGTATAGGGCTCTCACCAAATTATTTTCTGAATTAGAGTATTTTCTACAATCTTAAGACAAAGTTGCATGATAATTCATGCGATTTTATTTCTACATTCTTCAACTTTGTAGAACACCAAAAAAAATGGGTGAAGACGCAGGTAATTTTGGGTCTTCTCTAAATTACTGTTTAAAATACCCTAATCTGAAAAATAATTACTTGAGTGAATTATTTAAGGATTGTTTTTTTCAACACATTATATCAGCCATTTGTCCAAGATAATTCATTTTTAATTTTTATTAAAAGTATATTTTATTATAGCAATTCATCATTTTATGAAAATTATAATCTCTACATCGATTTTTTATAACTAGAGAATGAATTAGTAGAGATAATAACTTAATGTAATAATAAAATATTATTTTAAAAAATAAGATTAAACTTAATTTTTAATAGAATAAAATATTTTTTAAAAGAAAATAAACATTAAGAATCAATTTTAATTTTTTTTACCATATTTAGTAATTATTACGTTTAACTTTTTATTTAAACTTTAATGGTTAATGATTATTTTATATCCTTCAGTATCTTGAATAAATAATTTATAACATTTTAAATTGGAATGGCTCAATTAATTAAAAACTTATAGTTGGATCACTATTTAAATAATTTATCCTATTTTATAATAACAGTTCGTCATTTCATACAGAATTGAAAATTTTATGCCAACGTTTGATGATAACAAGTACCTAAAACATTTACCAATAGTTACAAAATAAAAATTAATATTATGATTAGAATATAATGTCTATTCTAAAGATTTTAAATTATTTAACAACAAATGCTTAAACAGTTATGTGGAGATTAGTACTCGAAAATTTAATCTAACATACTCAAATTTGAAAATTTAATTTTAAAAATAAGATTTTTTTCAATTGAAATTTTTTTAACTCAGTTCTGAACGGAATATTCATCCTAAACAAAATGCGTAGCTTTCTGGTAATAAATATGCAGTGCAAACTCAGCAGACAACCCCTCATGCCATGAACGAAGGCAGCCCCACGGTTTCATAAACCGTTTTCGAAGCTATAAATTAGACCCCAATTCCACTCAAACCCTTTCCCTTTACCCCGCTTCTTCTCTTTGTTTCTTCCACTTTTTCTTTTCTATATATAGTTCGTTTGCCATGAGATCTTTGTTGGAGTGTGTGTCATGTTTGGGCACGACGACGCATGAAGTGTCGATGATGGAGGAGGTTGTGACGGTGGCGGTGACACTCGCGAGGGAGGAGGAGGAGGAGACAAAGTCCTTGATGCCTGCGGATACGACGGCAGCATCATCGAGGAGGAGGAAGACAGATAGGATTAGGGTGAGGGTAGGGTCGACGGGGTCTATGAATCCCCCGTGGAAGCCCTCCTTGTGTTCCATAACAGAGGATAACATCATGGCGGAGAATAGAAAGAAAATACCGTCGGAAACACCAACGACAGTAGGTAGAGTGGTGAAGAGGAAGAGCTCTTCAGGGTCACGTTCTAACGTTCATGTTCGAAGCTATAGCAACGACACCGGGTAATTTTCATTTATTTTATTTTCAAATAAAGGTAAAGACTAGTAAAAAATACCATTTATTAAAATGTTTATGTTAAATTAAAGAGTTGTATTTGGTAAAATTTGCAGGCGAAATTCGGTGCCGGTGTTCCTACCGACGTTTTCCCCTACACCTTTCATGTTTTGACTTCTTTGGTAGAGTACAGATATAATTGTAGGGATAAATGAAGTGTTGTAAAATTTGGATCTAATCGGAATAAACCTGAAAAGAAATTACCCACTTCCAAGTTCTTCATCTCCTTCTTTGCCATACACATATTGACTGAAATCAATCATAGTTTTCTTTTTAGCTTAATTGTATATAAGATTCTATGAAAAATAATTAAAAAAAGGCTTAAATATTAAATAAGTGTACAAACTATAGTGTTTTTCACAAATATGTGTACAAACTATTTTTTGAATGATCCCGGTGTCTAATGTTATCACTTTAGGTGTCTTGGTCGTCATATCTTTATTTTCATCAGTTAAGTGACATGTGTCATAATCTGGTAATTTTAAAAAAATTATTTAAAAATAAATAATTATTTTTTAAAAGAAGAACACAAAAATTTTAAAATAACCCTAAAACTTTGAAAACCCTTCATTTCAACCCCTAAACTCATGTCGACATCCGGCTTTTGCCATCAACGAAGCTCCACCCGACCTCACATCTCCTCGGCGATTAAAACCCCTATGAAATTGTGACCAATCTAAGCCAATCGACGACAAATAAATGGTTTATACCTCGCGAACCTTAGGGTGAAAATTTTGATCTCATGCGATTCCGACGGCCAATCGGTGTCAACTACGACCACTTATGTCTAGGAGGATGGCAGGGACTACGTCGGCGACGGTGGTTGTGATCGGATTTGGGTTAGGTTTTGGGGATTTTGAGTTTTTTTTTGTAATTTAAGAGAAATTAGAGTTTTTTATAAATATAATAATATTTTTTAAAAATATAATAATATTTTTTAATATTTTTAAAAAATAAATTTTAAAATTACCAGATTGTAACACGTGTCACTTAGCAGATAAAATTAATGTCGTTGATGGCCCGGACACCTAAAGTAGTAACGGTTGTAACATTGGGCACCGGGATCAATCAAAAAATAGTTTATGCACCTATTCGTAAAATCATTATAGTTTGAGCACTTATTTTATATTTAATCCTACAAAAATTAATACAATATTTAATTTTTTATATTTAATAGAATCTTTAAATTAAAAATAAATTAATTTAATTTTTATCAAAAAAATCATATATTGACTATTAGTCTATTACGATACTAACATTGAGGGATGGACGTAGAAATTTGTATCAGAGATACGAATATAAAAGATTATATTAAAACTTTAGGGTGCGAGGTTATAAAATGTATAAAATTAAATAATTCATATAAAATATAAAGAAATTAGGAGTGCGACCGCACACGAGCACCCTTTGGTTCTTCCCTGCTGACGTTAATATTAACATGAAGATCCACCGTTAAATATGATAATGTAATAAGAGAGTTAAATTAAGTGCACTCTTTTTCATTACCGCTATTATTTATGGGAAGTGATAGTGTAAGGACCACAATCATTAATAGGTGAGAAGGTTATAAAAGAATATCTGGGTATGTTGAGCAGAAAGAATTATGGAAGTTAAGGAGATGTTTGATAGGAGAAATGGCAACAGTCTGTAGTGTAAGGAGTATTCTGTCAAGATTGCAAGAATGGGGGCTTGGCGAAATAAAAACCCAGAGAATTGGGGGAAAAGCTTTCGTAATCTCAATAGACGAGGACTTGTTTTTGACACTTGAAGACCTAAACTGGTCATACCTAAATGAAATTTTTGTTGATGTCAGATTGTGGTCGGAAAATATGAATCAAGTGGAAGGGGCAGCCTGGGTAGAGTTATATGGAGTCCCTCTTCACTGCTGGAACTCTACTACTTTCAAAAGAACGGCAGAACTTTGAGGAACATTTGAAGCACTTGGTGAAAATGCAAATCGTACTAAGGATGGCGAGAGGATAACCAATAACCATGTTGATTACTACGAACTATGCAAGGAAAATCGATGAAGTGGTGGAAGTTGAGGTTGGAAGTGTAATACACAAAGTCTTAGTGATGGAACGGGGGTTCACTGATAATTCTGATGTTCTTGTTTGTTCCAGAGACAACAAAGAAGATAGTGAGCCTGGAGAAACTCAGAAAACTACTTCAGTAATTAAAGATCGGAGAGAGCTCGTCGTCGGAAGAAACGGTGGAATCAAACCGGTCGAACCAGGAGGTGTCTGCTGAAAACCCCAAGGAAGATGATGAAGCAATTAATGTCAGTTGTATTGAAAAGGAAAACAAGTATATGCTAATAAGGAGAGTAGGGATCTAAACCGTTCTGTCAGGGATTTTGAATCAAAAAGCGGAGGGGTCGATATTATTTTGGATTGTGATTCATCAGAAAAGTTTTTCGACGTAAGGACTTTTGGAACCTCTCCGGAGAAGCTTAAGAGCCAAGGCCAACCTGTTGAAGAAGACACATTGAATGATTCTGATCTTGGGAAGAGCCTTGTAGTGTCGAGAGCAATGATGACATGGGAAAGCTGAATGGTAGCGTGCACAAAGTGGAGAAAGTCTCAGTTCTGGAAGATACTTCGAAGATTAATTGTCACATGCTTGAAAGTAAAAAATCTGATGAAGGGGCAAGGCAGTTGGGCCCTAATACAAATATCAATTTTGTTTGTGAGGTGGGTCTGATAGAAGCTTGTAATCCTTTAGGCTCTTCGGGGGGAATTATGTCAAAAGAGTTTAGATTTGGATTTCTCAAAAGACCGTGAGGCTGCAATTGGTTTGGATCTTGGGAATGTAGGCCAAGGTCCAATGATAAATTTGTGTGCTGATAGTTCGATTGATAAGGTTATTATTCAATCTAAAGGGTTGGTTGGGGGTCATAAAGGGAATGTGTAACATCCTCAATACCGGGTTAGTGACCAAATTATAAAGTTTCAGAATTTGGTGATTAAAGTAGAAGAATGAATTAGTTCAATGATTTATCTGGAAATAAATCCTAAAAGATGTTAGTAATTATAAAAGGTATTAAAGGGCAAAAGGGTCATTTGACCAAGAGATGAATTAAATAATGATATATATATATATGGATAAGGATGAGAGATTTTACAGAAATCTCTTCTCTCTTTTATTCTTCATTTTCTTTTTCCTCCCGTGAAAGCTCCAAGGCAAAGGTAAGATTCCTTGTTAGCTGATGATTTGTTGATTTTAAGAGTGGGTTTTGATCCTTAGGTAATACTTAAGATTATGGAAAGCTTAGGTTGTCCTAAAATCAAAAGATAAAGGAGATAGAGAAAATTAAAGATTAGTGGTTCTTGAATGAAATCTTGAAATAGAGTTTATAATAAGAATTGAAAGTTGGATTTGACTTGTCATCAATCTAAGTAAGAGATATGAAGTAATACAATTGGATTTGAAACATGTTGCAAAATTGATGTAATTATTGAATTACATATGGAAGATAGGATTTTGAGGTTTAAGGTGAAATAAATGAGTATAGATTGTTTTAAGTATGTGTACTAGAGTTAAGAATGAAAAAGGAGATGAAACATGAAGGATTTAATCCAAAATGAATGATTTTCGGGTTCAAAAAGAGGATTCTGGGCAGAGTGCATCGATGCATATTCATTGTGCATCGATGCATCAAGGTTAAAACCTAGAATTTTGTTTGAAGGTGTATCGATGCATAGGTAGTGCATCGATGCACTCTTTTAAAATAGAAACATCGAATGCAATTAGTGCATCGATGCATAAGGCATGCATCGATGCATCCCAGTGATAATACAACATCGAATGCATTTTATGCACCGATGCATCAGTAGTGCATCGATGCATACTTTCATTGAAAGATGAAATTGGCATTTTTCTTAGTCTAAGGAGTGAACCATTAGAGTATATTAGTTATAATACTGATATAGATCTATGAATGATTATGTAGATATAGAACGTGATCCCATTCAGAAACAATTGAAGGATTAGAATCGAATCAAAGCAAAGCTAAGGTGAGTGCAATTTATTTTGTACTTATTTTATTGAATTAACATTGGCTTGCGATGAGCCAGTGATGGAGTTACTATGGTAAGAAGTAACTTCTAAATTGTTATGTGATTACCATGTATGCATTAATACATAGAAATAGATAGATGCTATGTTATATGATTTATATGCTTAAGTGAAAATGCAACATATGATATATGTTATTTGACATGACATGCATGGTTACATGAAAGAAAGCTATGTGACTACATGTATATGTGAAAGAAGCTATAAGCTTATATGCACATGTGATATATGTGATATGAATTACATGAAATGATTTACGTGAATACATGTATATATAATACATGTGATATGATATGAGATATATGGTTACACATACATGTGGTATGTGACAGAAGAGAAATAACAAGTGATACGAAATGTATAAATAAATGCCCATAGTATATGATACGAGAGCTATAGGTATAGTTGGCATGCCAAGAGTCGAGGGTTTACCTATGTTGAAAGGAACATATGGATAGTTGCCGAGGATCTTTATGACCTCTGAATAGTTATCGGGGTTCTTTGTAACCTTTGGACAGGTCCTTCGGGACGAATACTGAACAAATGTTCGGTGCCCCATGAGGGAATTTATACGAGCTGTGGTGACAACATTAGTGCACAACCTCAATGTACTCACATACCTCTATTCTCAATAATATACATGGGCAATGAAATTGAAAGACAAATGAAAGTGAAAGTGATACAAGAAGGTAAGTTGCATGTGTGCATGACCTGATTGTATATTGTTATCATACAATAGATTCATGCATATTGATATGTCATGATTCAATGATATGAATGCACATACATGAATTATATGATGTTATGTGTGTTTCTGGGTATAGTGATATATGTGTTATATGATGAGTATATGGTAAGTGGAAAGGATTATTGATAGTGTTTGCATATGTATGTCTTTTATTTATATGAAATGATATATGGTTATATTATATGTTTTATATGCCTCACTAAGTCTATGACTTAGCATGTAAGTGATTTACACGTAGGTACCAAGAAACGAGAAGTGAAAGAATAGAAGTGGCAAAGACAGTATCACTACTAAAAGATCAGATCAGAAATATTTGACAAAGTATGTATTTGGTTATGTATAAAGTGTTGGCATGTAATAAGTCATTAAGTACGAGCACTCTGATAAAGTCTGTATTTTGTTTTAAATAAAGTTTTAAATTTCCCGGGATTTTTCTTAAGAGTCAAGGTTT